AGCAACATAGCCATTATGCTAACTGCTGGTCCCTTTATTTCTTTTTTAAAAAGGATTATTTAATTTTATTTATTATTATTGTTATTGGCTATAGGGTACACACACTCACCGGAGAGAGACGGGATGGGGGGGAGAGTGCGAAAGCGAGGACCAAACCATGGTGGGCCATGTGGGAGTCGAGTGCCATAACCACCATGCCACCTGCTGGCCTCCGTTGTGAATTTCCTTACATTAATTTTTAGTTTTAAAAGAATTTATTATTAATTTTCTATAGGGCCTGTGCATGCACCAGAGAGAGATACAGGGAGACAGAGAGAGAGAGAAAGCCATCACGTCTAGAATTCAAACCACAATCAGCCATGTGGGAGTCTAGTGCCTTAACCACCATGCCACCTGCTGGCCTCAATTTTTATTTTTAAAAAATGCTGCACAGGAGGACCAGAAGATGGCATAATGGTTACATCGTTGGACTCCAATGTAGCCGACCACTGTTCAAGTTCCGGACCTAGTGGCTTAAAACTTACACCGGGCGCATGTGCATGTGTGCCCAAAATCCCAGGAGGAGTGGAGAAGGGGCAGCAGCATGACCATCCTTCCTGGGGGTGATTTCTCGCGTTCTGTCTCTGTTTCTAGGGCAAAACACATGCCCTATAGTAAAACTTTCTCTCTAAAAAAAAAGTGTTGTACAGGGGCCAGCAGGTGGCCTGGTGGTTGGGGTTGGACTCCCACATAGTCCACCGCTGCTGTTTGAGTCCCAGACCTGGTGGCTTGCTTTCTCACTGTCTCTCTGCCTCTTTGGTGAGTGCATGTGACCTACAGCAAATTAAGAGATAATAATAGGGAAAAATCAAATCAAATAAATAATTCTAAAAAGCAATGTTGCACCCATACATTCTTTATCTTGCTTACTGAATTTTTTGGTATCCCCTTACACTTTGCACCCAGTAAGAGAGCCGAACTCACCTCACCCTAATCCCAGCCCTGCAATGATGTCCCCACTACAAGGGTTCCCCATCACCCTAAGACAGCCCAGGCCCCGGCCTCCACACCCACCTCTCCCTTTTCTGCTGTTGCTCTGCTGAGTTCCCGGGCCACAGGCATTACACACTCGACGGTCCCTGCCGGAGTGAGCCTCCACCTCCGCCGGCCCCCTGCTCCAAGACCGTCCCAGGGAACTTTTCCCTCAGCCCTTCGCCCCCTCCACCCTCCTCAAGCTCTACCACTTGGCCCCATTCTTCCCAAGGTGTCCCACCACGGCAGTCCAGGTGCATCCCTCCAAAGAGCCATCTTCCCACATGTCCAGCCCAGCACTGGCAACAACCAAGCTCCCCAGTAAAGGACAGTGGGGTAGGTGCGAAGGTTTATTGCCGAGTCTGTGCACCTGGCCTGGCCGGCTGGGAGCTCCTGTCCCCACCTGCAGACTCTAGGCTTGATCAGAAAGGAGGGAGCAGGGATGTGGGGACATTCGTCCAGCCATGGCCTCATGGGCCACCCATGGCCCAGCCAAGGAATGGGCACTGAATGGACGGGATGAGAGGAGCTGCTGGCAAGGACCAGAGTGGATTCTCTTGCGACCCCACTGAGGCAGACCCCCCCACTGAGGCAGGCCCCCCACTAAAGCAGACCTGGGGAGGCGCAGACTGGGCCCCTGTCCTCTCAGGAATCTGCCTGAAGCCGATCGATGGGAGCCGGACTCTGCCCCCAGCCGCCCCTCAGGACACTTCAACTATTGGCCGGGGCAGTGTTCACAGGACCCTCCCTCAGCAGATCAGCGGGTCCAGAGTACTGCGTGTGGGTGGGGGAGCCAGGCAAGAATTCTGTGTGCCGACAGAGGGGCAGGTCCTGCAGGAGAGGGGTTAGGGGCTTCCTCTGAGCCAGGCATTTGGAGAAGGGCCCAGCTCATGTCTTTCCCTGGCACCCAGGGGCTCTCAGACCTGCTCCCTGTTCACTAATTTATCCATGTGGGCGCTGGCCAGGGCCAGCTCAGACTTTGCACCCCTGAAGCTGCTGGGAAGGACAGTCATTGGCCACTGGGTGGACAGGTGTCAGACTTGTCACATGGAGGTAGTGGGGCTGGACTGGGCCACTGGTAAGCAGCAGGCTTGCTTGGGGGAGGGAGACCCCTGCCCTTCCTGGAGCGAGGGAGCTGATCGGGAGTCCGAACCCACCAGGCGAGTCTCCCCAGGGACAGGAGCACCCCTGGGCAGGAGCGCAGCGGGAGACTGGTCAGCTGGGCACTGCTGAGTCACGTCGAGCTCGGCTGCTCCAAGTCCCGCTGGTGCCTAGCTGGGGCTGGCTGCTGTGGGTCCCCGAGGCCAGTGCAGCCAGGCGGAGAAGGACAGGGCTAGGGTTGGGGACATGGGGCAGGGTCCGGGCCTCGAGGCTAGCAGGGCTCAGGGCTTTGGGCCAGAGGCTCGTGGGCAGGCTGGGGCCCAGAAGTCCTGGGTGCCTGGAGGAGGAGGCTGGTAGAGTCCTGGGGACTGGGACTTCAAGACAGCTAGGGCTACCATCTCAGGGCGAGGGACACGCATGAGCTCAGGCAGCTGGGAAGACAAGAGGGAACCTAGTCAACACCCTTGCACTCAAAATGAATGGGTTAGGCAATGCGTGGGGTACGGCCCTAGGTACTGGGACACCCAGGGGTTGGTGCCGGGTCAAAATACTGAACCGGGTGGGACTTGGTGCCGGGGGCGGGGCCTGTGACAGTGGGTGGAGCCCGGTGGGGCCTGGAAGCGGCAGGATGTGGGATTTGGGGGCAGGGCGCCGGGCAGTGAGAGTCGACGACCTGGGGTGTGCGGTGGGCTGGGGAGCTGGGGGCCTGGGGACGGGGCTCGGTGCTTTGAGATCGAGGAGGAGCAAGGGGAGCGCGCGGGCCTGCGAGGACCCCACCTCAGAAGAGTCCGCAGTCTTTGAGGTTCTCCTTGATGATGATGTCGGTGACGGCGTCGAAGACGAACTTGACGTTCTGCGTGTCGGTGGCGCACGTCATGTGCGAGTAGATCTCCTTCACGTCGCGCCGCATGTTGAGCTCCAGGAACTGCACCTTGATGTAGCTGCCCGCGTCCTCGTAGGTGTTGGGCCCTGCGGGGAGCCGAGCGCTCGCTCTCTGCGCAGCCCCGCCCGGACGAGGAGCGCGGGCCGCGGCCGTGGGGCTGGGGCGCCGCCTCGGCGCAGTAGCGGTGGTTGCAGATGCTGTTGAACAGGTGCAGGCTCTCGTGCATGCGGTTCTGAGGAGGGCAGCGCTGTCGGGCACCGGGGACGCGGGCAGCCGCCCCAGCCGCCCCGCCGGCCCCTGGCCTCCGGGACCCCAGGCACGCGAGGCCTTCCCGCAGGATGCTCCCCTGCCCCGCAGCACCGCCCGGAGGCTGCGGCCCTGCTGGGCACTCACCACTTCGTCGTCCTCCACCAGCACCATGTCGTAGGCGCTGAGCGCCGCGATAAAGATGATGCAGGTCACGCCCTCGAAGCAGTGGATCCACTTCTTGCGCTCAGAGCGCTGCCCGCCTACATCGAACATCCTGCGGGGCGTGGGGGCCGAACCCGCGCATTGGGCGTCCCGGACGCGCACAAGGCAGCCCCTAAACTGTCGGGACGGGGCTTCTCCCCCGGGACTGGCCTCTGGGACCAGGGCCATCCTACGGGCGCGGTCTCTGGTAGAGATGAGGTCTCCAGGAGGGACTAAGCCTTGGGGCGGCGAACTCCCGTACAGGGCCCCTGAACACCGGGGTGGGCGAGGTCGTACCGGAAGTTGAGGTCCTTGAAGGAGAACTGCGTCTCGATGATGCCGGTGGTCTTGACGCGCGAGCGCAGCACGTCCTGCTCCGTGGGCACGTAGCCCGGGGCCACCAGGCGCTCCAGGTCCGAGAGGTAGCTGCGGAGACCGGGCGCGTGGGTGGCGTGGAGCGTGCTGGGCCCCGCCGGCGCCCGCGCCCCGCCCGCGCGCTCACTAGCCAGCAGAGTCGTTGAGCTGGTACTCCGAGGCGCGTTCGAAACAGGCTTGGATCCCCGAGTCCTTCCACAGCCGCTGGATGACGTCTGCCATCTCCTTGGGCATGGTGCCCTCTTCGATAGTGTCCGCCATGTGCATTAGCTTCCGGGCGTCGTCCTGGGGACAGGTGGGAGAGATTGGTGGTGACCGCGGACGGGGCCCAGGCAGGCACCTGGAGTGGGCAGAGGGCCAGCTCGGCCGCCTCCTGGCGCACCTGGCGCGCAGAGTCTCCATACTGGATGTTGAGCGTGGTCATGGCGCGCACGATGGCCAGGATGGACTGCAGCGTGTTGCCGTAGATGATGGCGATGAACTCGAGACACTCTTCCAGCGAGTACCCGTCCTGGTGGATGATCCTGCGGGGCGAGCGGGGTCAGTGCCTGGCGGGCCAGCGGGGAAGGGCAGGCTGTGCGCGCCCACCCTGGGGGCCCCGGACGGGCAGGGGGCACTCACTTCATCTGTTTGACGATGGTGCTCTTCCCAGACTCGCCGGCCCCTGGAAGGAAAGCCGCACCTCAGAGCCCCGCTGCCTGCCTCCCTGCCCCGCAATGAGGCCGGGAAGATGGGGCTTGGGCGCCAGGGCGACCCCTCTTCCCATTCGCTCCGCCCCCTACACACAACCCCACTCGCCCCTTCCGATCCAAAGTAAAAGCGGAAAAACGTTTGTAAATGTCAGGAAAGTAGCAAAGAGAGGCTGACGGAAGAGAACAGCGACCTCCACTGCGCAACTGAGTGGCGGTGGCGGTGGCGGCGGGGTCTGCAAGACGGTGGTATACGCGGCCTTGCTTATGCTGAGACCAAAATGGGGAGATCCTGGAGCGTCACCTTGTGGGGATCTCTGGCGCTGCACACAGGGATTATTAGAGAACGCTAGGCCCTCGCTTTCCACCGGAGGGGAGGGGCCTCTCCAAGAGGCTCAGAGGGTTTTAGCGCCTTTGGGTGGGAAGAGAACAGAGCTGACATCCCTTGGAGCCTGCTCCTGTGAGGGCGTTGGGCACAGATAATAGGATTTCCGGCTTAGCCTCTCTGCCTTCCCTGGAATCCTGGCTTAGTGCCTGTGCCCACTTCCCTGCCGGTGGATGGTGGATGAGACCTGGTGACATGATGGTACCTGTCTGGGCGTCTTGATTCGGCTCTATCCCCTGGGGGGGGTCTGATAGTGACCTTGAGGCAGGTGTGGATCAGCCCCGTCTCCCCATTACCCACGGGACTTCGAACCCGCTTTATCTATCCCTTGGGCATCGGGACCCCTGGCTTTGGAGGTCTGACAGCTATGGGTGAGCCTGGGTGGCCCTAGAGGCCCCCCGCTCCCAGGAGGACTATGTCTCCTTCCTCAGGGAGCAGCCTGTGGGTGTTCCAGCGAGGTCCCAGTTTCTTTTTCTTTCGGAGAGGTTTTTACTATAGGGTGCGAGCGCTCAACAGAGAAAGAGAGTGAGAAATTGCACCCCAGGGGGGGATGGCCACGCCGCAATCCCTTCTCCTCCATTCTCCTCTCGGGATCTTGGGCACGCACACATGCACGCGCACCCGGCGTGAGTTTAAGCCACTGGGTCCGGGACTCAAACCTCAGTCGACTACGTGGGAATCCAGCAACATAGCCATTACGCTAACTGCTGGTTCCTTCTTTTCCGCTTCCCCAACTGCTGGTTCCTTTTTTTTTTTTTTTTTTTTTTAAAAGAGAGATTTTGCTAAGGGCATGTGCACTTGCCAGAAAGACAGAGAGAGAGACAGAAAGTGGGAAATCATCCCCTGGGGGAATGGCCACGCTGCAACCCCGTCTATTCTCTCTGGATTTGGGGTACGTAGGCACATGTGCCTGGCTCGAGTTTCAAGCCACCGGGTCCAGGACTTGAACAACTGAGCCCTGCCCAGCAGGCCCAGGAAACTAAAGGCCTGACCACGAGGGAGCCCAGCCAGGGAGAGTGCCTTGTACACGCACTCGTATGAAAATGTGGTGGGCACACACTTTGGGGGAGGGCAGGTTGCCTGAGGCAGGGCCCTCTTAGAGGGGCTTCACGGGATAGCCAGTGTGGGGGGGTCAGGATACTGCCTGGCCTTGCCTGTCATGGGCTCACTGCTCCCCAAGGCTGCCTGCCCACCCTCCTGCTGCTGATGTGGGCAGTGGCCCCCGCCATGGCCCACACACCTACCCAGAAGCAGCAGTTTCACGGTCCGAGCGTCCTTCTCAGCATCCTCTTTCAGCTTCTTTTCCAGTTCCCTGGAGTGCTTCTCCTCAGCGCTGGCCCCAGCCCCCATGGTCCCAGCAGCAGGCAAAGGGACAGGGTGTGCAGGTGGCTCTTCTGGTTGGAGGGGACCCCAAGAGCCAGGCCTCCACCCTCTGGCCCCGGGAGGACCTGGAGTCAGCCTGCTCTGTGCAGGCCTGCTGGGGCTGCTTAGTGGGATTTGGAAGTTGGGGGTGCCCAAGAGCCAATCAGAGACAAGGACAGGTGGGCGGCACTAGTCCCCAACCTGTCCAGTCGGGTGCCATGGCCCCAATCCCTCAGCCGCTGACTCTGCACTCCTGTCTCCCCCAGCAACCTTCCTGAAGAGGCTGAGATGGGGAAGCACATTAGTTAGGGTGGGGGCTGAGACGGGGGCGGGGGGCCGGCAGCAGAGCGGAAGCCACGGGGCACCTGTACCCCTCATCTTGTATGCTCACGCTCAGGAGGGTCCAGTGGCTCATTTACTGAGAAGGAAGTGGGGCTCAAAGGCCACGCAGCAGCAGGTGGTCTGGAATGGGGTGAGGGGTTCTATGCAGAGTGGGGAGTCAAGTGGGGAAAGGTGAGGGCGGGTCTGACCCAGACGCACTTCCAACACTCCGGGGGTGTACACGCTGCTACGTGTGCCTGGGTGTGTGTCTGTCCTTCACTGCACCAAGCAAGGCAATGACACGTGTGTGTACCTGTGCACACACGCCTGTTCATGCCCTTGTGATCACATGTGCTCTATCATGCACATGTCTAAGCATATTTGTGTGTATGCACACGATGGGTGCTTTGTGCATGTGTCTTTAGACATGCATGTGCTTGTATGTGTATTTCGCGTGCTCGTGTGGGTCTCTGTGTGCGTGTAATGCCTAAGTGTGCAAACGCATGTACGTGGCAGTAAATGTGTTAGTGTGCACTTGTCCATGTGCGTGAACATGTGTGTGCACCTCGGCATAGGCAGATGTTACATGTACTTTTACACGTGTCTGTGTGCATATGTGCTTGCATGTGCCCGTGACCATATACACATGTGTACCTGAGCACAGCACAGCCTCTGATCTGTGTAGACGTGGCTGAGCTCCTCCAGAGAATGCAGAGAATGCAGGCCTGTTGCCAAATGGGGAAACCAAGTTCCAGAGCGGGTCTGGTGCTCCCTAGGTCCTGGGAGTGGGGCCCACCCAGACTGCTTCTGCTCTGTCCCCTGTGGGTGTTCCGAGACCTAAGTAGGGGCACCTGTGGGCCCTGCCTGCCTCAGCCCCGGGGCCTAACGAATGTCCTTAGTGCATGGCGTCCTGTGGTGGAGGTGGTTCGGGCTGAGCCCACAGTGTGGCCCTCCCAGGCTACATTCCCCCTGCCATGCCCCCCCGAGGGCCAGGGGCCCTGAGCCTCCTGGCTGGATCCCCTCCACTCTGCCGGTCAAGAGGCCGTGAGGAGGCGCAGGGCCCAACGTGGGGCGTGGGAAGCAGCTACTGGCTCCCTGGGCGGCAGCTGTGCCCTCCACGCCGGCGGGGTGGG